ATATATATATATATATATATATATATATATATATATATATATATATATATATATCTGTGGTTGCACGTATTTTAAATAAAGACCCGGTGCATAGGACGGCAGAGCGTGAAACATTTGCTTGGTCGAAGAAGGATTGAATGAATAAACGATCGATGGCAAGTAAATGGATGAATGAGTGAACGAATGAACAAAGAAATGAATTGTTTGGATGAGAAATTTTCTAGGCGATGCTGTTGCTTTTGTAACATAATTCAAAACTTTTCGTTCTAGCCATAAGCGTTGTAATGAATAAAAGGGTTCGTTATTCACCAATATCACGCTGTTTGTAGTAATTCATTATAAAAATTATTTTTAATAGATATTTAAGTTACTTTGAAGTAAACGCTTTTGAACGTTAAACACCGAAAGAGTTTTTCATACCTGTCCAGCACAAAAAGTACATGTTTTAATAAAAAACCTTACCATCGGTGAGAATGATCGCAATATTGTCGTTCTTCATTTACCTGTTCAGCTTATCTGTGAGAGGTTAGGAACATGTTTTCTTTTTTGGTCAGCATATATTATTGAAAAATGCATTAACTTTTTATTAAATTTAAAAAATCACGTACTTAAATTTGTTTCAACAGCCAAAGCCACACACGTATACTTCACGTACGCAAAATGCCACATGAAGTGATAAATGTTGCATTTGAACCTAGTACAATGTCATCTTGATTACAACCACATTTGAGAATAGCCAAAAAATATTTATAAAAACAGACAAAACATACAACAACATGTATGTATGTTGTTGCGGTGGCACTAATGTATGAGAACACCTAACCAGGAAGAGCAGTGAGCGGGTGTGAAAAAAATAGTGTTGGTTTGGATAGGCTGGACACGCGTTTCGTCTCTACCGGGGACTCACCTGAACAGCCCACCAGAATACTATTGCAGGTTTTCCCATTATATAGCTCCCACGAATCACTTCGTTAGTTTGTGGTGTTTTATTTTATATTGGAGATTGTTAGCTTTAGTCGTTAGGTTTGTCAGTCCGACAATATCGTATGTGTGAGTCCTTTCAAGCTCTTTTTTCGTTGCAAATACAGATATCTATTGTGTTCTTAAAGTTAAAACTATATATATATATATATATATATATATATATATATTTATACATATACCTAAATATATATTTATTTATATATACACTTGCATATACATATACACAACGAGAAAACAACTCATACATAATTACACACACACACACACACACACACGCACGCACACACACACACACACATAGACAGAAGTTAAGTTAATAAAAGCTGACGTGAACGAGGTTATGGCGTGTGGAGTCCCTGAGTTCCAAGTTGGATTCAAATTGTTTTATTAGATACCAATCTGGAGGCCTGAGGAAGAAAACTCAATTTTTATTTTTCATTTGTTTCTTGACTTGTATACGTGTTTTGTGGGAGTTAATGCATGTTTGTTATGTATGCATAAGTAAATGTATCTATTGATATATATGCGTGCATCATATTTGTGCCTCTGCATGCTGCCAACAAGGACTTTTTAAGCAAATTTCAAGATAAATTACAAAAAATAAGTGGCATTGAAATTTAACTTTCATCTGAACACTAAGGATTGAAATTACGCCAATAATTCACGGTGCATGCTGAGTTGGCTGATGCACGTACATCATCTTTACCTCTGAGGAACGTCAACAATATATACATATATGTATGTGTGTGTGTGTGTGTGTGTGTGTGTGTGTGTGTGTGTGTGTGTGTGTGTTTGTATGTGTATGTGTGTGTGAGTGTGTGTGTGTAAAAGATATTTATCCTTTGTGTATATTAGATGTAAATATTATGTAAGTACATATATATGCGCAAATACCCTTAAGAATTACACATGTTGACAAATACAAAGAAAAAGAGCGTAAATAGCCAGCGATTTTTCGATCTTTTTCCGGTCCCAGAAGTGACCGGAAGTTTTTTTTGTCTGTGTGTTCTTTTGTTTGTACATATGTCCAGATGTTTGTAAGTGTGAACGCTTTTTGCTTTTCTTATTATTACTGTTGTTGTTAGTATTTTTCTACTTTTCAACATTATTTAACATCTACAATTACACTAAAAATTATTATTATTGTTGTTATTATTATATTATAATTATTATGTTTCTTTTTTTTTAAACTTCATCTATGCTATGACACAGATTACTTTTCAGTATCATCACTATACCCTGTGATGTCGATGACAATGATCATCATCACTGCTTATTATTATTATTACTATTATTATTATTATTATTATTATTATTATTATTATTTCTTTTGGATGCGACAACCATGACAGAGATTTCTTTATTTACTTTTATGGGCTGGCTATTATGGCGTCTCAAATAATAATAACGACAATAATAATAATAATAATAATAATAATAATAATAATAATAATAATAATAATGACGATGATAATAATGAAAGGAATATATAATAATAAGGAGTATATAATAACAACAGTGATAATAACAATAACAATAAAAAAAAATCTTTGACATCATCATCAGAGTCATCATTCCAAAATGTATTGGCTTTCATTTTCTTGAACTGATTTTTTTTTATTTCATCAACGTCATCATCATCACCGTCATCATCAACATTATCATCATCATCATTATACTCATCATCATCATTATCAACGTCTTCAATTATCATCATTATCATCATCACTATCATCCTCTCCATCATCACCATCAACTCTATCATTATCATCTTTTTCATCATTATCATCATCACTATCATCCTCTCCATCATCACCATCAACTCTATCATTATCATCTTTTTCATCATTATCATCATCACTATCATCCTCCCCATCATCACCATCAACTCTATCATTATCATCTTTTTCATCATTATCATCATCACTATCATCCTCTCCATCATCACCATCAACTCTATCATTATCATCTTTTTCATCATTATCATCATCACCGTCTCCCTTCATCATCATTTAAGTGAATTGTGAAGGAGGCGTGTAGTATGTTTCGTTGCTGACCAATCGTCTTTATGTGTTGTTGTTGTTGTTGATGATGATGATGTTGCCGTTGTTGTTGTTTTTGTTGTTCTTAGATTGTTGTTGTTGTTGATGTTGTTGTTAGATTTCTTTGTTGCCGTTAGTCAGGTTTTTGTTGTTATATATGTTTTTTTTTCTCTGTTTGTGGTTTTGTTTATGGTTATTCTAATGTTGTTGTTGTTTTCGCTGGGTTGTTAACGGTGTCGTTGATGCTGTTATTGAATGTTTGTTGATTTTGTTGTTGCTGCTGCTGTGGTTATTGTTAAAGTCTAGGTCGCTTTATTTTGAATAATTCTTTTCCATATTGATTCATGTGCTGTTTTAGAGGATTGCAACAATTTTTATAAATGGTTTATCGGCAGTTACAATTTAAGCTATACGTACAAATGTAAAAACGTGTTGTTGTTGTAGTGGTGGTGGTGGTGGCTGTTGTTGTTGCTGTTGGGGTTGTTGTTGTGGTGGTGAATGTTGTTGTTTTGTAGACTTGCAGATTTTTATCAAAATTTAGGGTGAAACATTCGAAAGTAGCTTCATATACTTTCAATTTTTCTGTTAATTTTTGTGAGCGTCTGTCATTTCGAAGCTGCTGCAAATGAGTTTTGGTTGACGTCAACAACAAAATCATGAAAAATAAACTACTTCTATCTATGACAAGCCTGTTAGTTTAATGGAAACAATGGAAAATACGAAGGAATTCATTTATTGAACAAAATTAACAAAAATTTTAGGGTACCCAAGATAACAAAACATTGGAAAGCAAGCACCAAGAAAAATTTCATCGTCGTTTCGAAAAATGAACAAAGCATCATCTTAAATGGCATAAACGTTTAAAAACATCGACAAATTATTCAACAACAACAACAGAAGGTAATGAACAAAAACAAAACTGGAAATAACATCCAGGCAAAATACAAAAACAATATGAACAAACAAAAAACTAACTACCAAAATGTTGCCTACAACAGCAAAACAAACACCATAGCAAAGAAAAACAAACATACAAACTCAAACAAAAAATACAAACGAAATAAACATATTGAGTAAACAACAACAGAGCATAAACAACAACAAAACTCAATTGCTGTCGCATTAACGTTAATAACTAAGATATAAACAACCAATACCACAGCAGACAACAAAATTATAAAACAACAACAAACGCACAGAAGTGAATGGAAAATAATACAAAATAAAACTGAAACTAACACCATTAAACAACAACGACGTCAACGACTAAATAAAAACAACAACAGAGGCAAAAAGCAAATTATGAACAACAACAAACCAAATATAAACAAAAAAAACAACAACAACAAAATATACAAACAAACAAATTATAAACAGCAACAACAAATTATAAAAAACAACAAACAATATACAAACAACAACAAATTATAAACAACAACAAAATATAAACAACAACAACAAATTATAAACGACAACAACAAATTACAAACAACAACAACATATTACAAACAACAAAAACAACAACACATTTTGAAACATCATCATCAAAATATACAAACGAGAAAAACAAAAGCAGCAACAACAAACAAAATGTAAACAACAAGAGGAAGCCCTATCATGCGTAGGAGACATTTAGGATTACAAATCAGCCAGTCGTGACCAGTGCTGACAAATCTGCTCTGTGATTCGGATGGCCGGATAGGGAATCTACTTTTCTGTTTCCATGTCCGCTTGTTTGTCCTCCATATGCGTGTATGCATGTGTGCAAGTGTGTATTTTTGTGTTTGCATGTAGGTCCGTGTGTCTGTATGTGTGTCTGTATGTGTATCTGTATGTGTGTGTTTGTTTGTGTTTTTTGTGTGCGTGTGTGTTTTTTTATATAGCTGCATGAATGTTTGCGTGTCTGTCTGAGTTTGTATTTTTGTACCTGTGTTGGTTATGTTTTGTGTATGTGTGTGTTTCGTTTGTATGTCGATGTGTTTTGTTTGTATATATATATATATATATATATATATATATATATATATATATAATATATATATATATATATATGTGTGTTTGTGTGTGTGTATGTATGTGTGTGTGTGTGTGTTTCGTTTGTATATGTGTGTGTTTCGTTTGTATATGTGTGTGTTTCGTTTGTATATGTGTGTGTTTCGTTTGTATGTCGATGTGTTTTGTTTGTATATGATGTAAGTGTTTTGTTTGTATGTGAGTGTGTCTTGTTAGCGTGTGAGTGTGTTTTGTTTGAACGTGTGTGTTTGTTTTCAACTGTGTGTTTTTCCGTGCCTTGATTGTTTGCAGGCATGACAAGAGTACGTGGATGAAACCGTGTGTGAAGTCGTGTTGTTTGTGATGCCCGTCCGTGCGTGCGTGTGTCCGTTTGTGGCCATTTACAAATTGGAAGGATGCTAGGGAGTCATTTAGATTTCGTGGACCAAGACATTATGATTGTTGAAAAAAAGTTGGGAGTAATTACAAACAGCAGACGTTTAAAAAGTCAGACGTTTGAAAGATAAGTAACCTAAACCTAACACAAGCAAACAATACTTTTATAAACACACACACACACACACCACACACACACACACAAAAACCTACATACATATATTCACATACACACATACAAATATTCACAAACACACACACAAACCTACGAACAAATATTCCCACATACACACACACACACACACACAAACAAATAAACCTACATACAATTATTCACACACACACACATGCACGTACACACACATGCACGTACACATACACAAAACGAATTGGTATTACATAAAACACCTCCAATCATCCCGACTTCATATGCAGAGTCAACGTTTATTTATTGCCTCCGCGAAGTTCGGGCCAGTAGTAATAGTAGTAGTAGTAGTAGTAGAAGAAGAAGCAGTAGCAGTAGTAGCAGCAGCAGCAGTAGTAACAGTAGTAGTAGTAGTATTACTAGTAGAAGTAGCAGTAGTTGTTGTAGCAGTAGTAGTAGAGTATTAGTGGTAGTAGTAGTATTAGTATTAGTAGTATTAGTAGTAGTAGTAGTAGTATTAGTAGTAGTAATAGTAATAGTTGTTGTAATAGTAGTAGTAGTAATAGTAGTAGTAGTAATAGTATTAGTAGTAGAGTAGTAGTGGTAGCAGTAATAGTAGTAGTAGTAGTAGTACTAGTAGTAGTAATAATAAGAATAATAATAATAATAGTAACAACAGAAGCAACAGCAGTAAACATTATTTATTACCCTAAACACATAGAATGGGTGGTGGTTACCTGCCATGAATACTGCCAATTTGAAACTTTTGTAGCTTCCTGTGAAGAAACATTATCACAACAGCATCAACAACAACAACAACAACAGCTTCAACAACAACAACAACATCAACATCTGCAACAACAACAACAACCGAAGAACAATGATAATATCAACAATTACAACCGGCTCGAAAATGATTTCAACCATAGATTTGAAATTGGCTACTACGGTTACAGTCACATTAATAACATTAATAACGGCTTCAACAACAACAACAATAATAATAATAATGATGAAAACATAATCAACAACATCAACAATGACAATGATAAACACATAAACAACAACAACAATGTTGAAAACATAAACAACAACAACAAAATTGATAACAACTATACCATCTACAAAATTTTTGGCAACAACATTATTGACAGCAACACCAATAAGAACAACAACATCATCAACAACAAAATCATCATCAACAACAACAACATTGTTGGCAACAACAACCACCACTTTAGTAACGTAGACGAAAATGAGAGGATAAAAGTTGAAAACGTAATCATAATGACACAGGCGAGGTGCTACAATATTTTATTCATCATCATCATAGTCGTCGTCGTCATCATTTTTATCATCATCATCATCATCATCATCGTCATCATCATCATCACATCTTTTAATTTTGTTGATGTTTAACAATGTTATGATATAACATGACGTCATCGTCGCCATCATTACTACTACTATTATAAATAAGATTAATGATAATAATAATAATAATAATAACAATAATAAAAATAATGGGAACAAATTTTATTTTTTCAATCAACAAAGTAAAAAATCATATGATAATAATAAATGTCTAATAAAATGAATAACAATAAAATGTATTCAAAATGTACGATAATAAATAAATAATAAAAAGAATAATAGTAATAAAATTAATAATAGTAATAATAATAATATCAATATTGGCAATACTAACAATATTAGCAACATAAATTTTCACATTAAAATCTCAATCAACCCTGGCTCAAGTTACGGTCGCATGAAATTAGGCCGATGTGTAACCAAAGATTATGGATATCTGGGATGCAGCGCTGACGTCATCAGTGATTTGGACGTTCTCTGCTCCGGAAGGTTGGCCAATGCCCGGATTGGGTATTAATAGATTAGTGGATGGATGGACGGTAGAATGGATGGATGGATGGACGGTAGAATGGATGGATGAATGGATGGATTGATAGATAGATAGATGGATTGATGATTGAAGGATTGAAAAAAAAATCCTTAATTCCCTAAAACAAAATGAAAATGTAATTTATAAAAAATACACCGACACCAAGTACACTGAATTCAGACAAACGAACAAACAAACAAACAAACAAACATGGTGAAATATAACATAGAAACAAACAAATAGACAAACAAACATACAAGCAAGCGATGATTGACTGATTGAACTCAAGGTCAAAGTGCACAGTGCCTGTATCTAAACTGAGAGAGGTCGTTCAACCGTGTCCACGTGATCTGACGTCACATCTCATGGCTATTTATAGATGTGTTCCAGGTTAGTGGATGACGATGGCTCCAATGACATCAATCGTTATGGGGATGATGATGATGATGATGATGATGATGGTGATGATGATGGTGGTGGTGGTGGTGAGGAGGATAGTTAGTTTGATGTGGTGATGTCATTTGTCGGGATGACATCACGAGAGCATATTCAGACTATCATTTGAGACGATGATGATGAGATAGTACAATGCGGGCTTTGGTAAGGACGATTATCATTATTTTCATTATTATTGTCATCATCTTTATCATTTGATATTCAAAACATCATCATCAGACCATCATCTTCAACAACGTCACTAATCTAATCACTTCCAACAACACTACCATGCTGCAACGATCGTAAGTTTTTAATCACAATTTTCACAGCTGTATCAATCGTAAACGAAGGACAACAACATCAACAACAACATCAACAACAACAACATCATCATCATCATCACGGGCATCAAATTAATGTGGAGCGTTTCCCATTTTACTTTCTTTTAGATGCCGGTGGTTATGCAGAGCAAAATAAATCGCCCATCTCGCCATCATCATCATCATCTTCGTCGTCATCATCACCATCATCATCTTCCTCATCATCATCATCATCAAGAACAACGTCCTCATCTTCATCATCTTCGTCGTCGTCATCATCATCCTCAACAACAGCATCATCATCATCATCGTCGTCAACACTTTTGACCATTAAATTTAGACCTGGATTGAAAGCGATAATAAATTTGTACATATTTGGAAGAGACACCATCAATAACAACAACAACAAAAACAACTACAATAATAATAATAATAGCAATAACAACAACAATAATAATAATAATAGCAATAATAAAAATAAGTACAACATTAACACTAACAACAACGCCAGTAACTACGTTCATAATATTATTAATAAAAAAATGTTTAACAACAACAACAACAACAACAACAACAATAATAATAATAATAACAACAACAACAATAACAATAATAATAATAACAACATCAATAATGTTCACAGCGACGACATTTATAATGCTGATAATATATCGATAGAATCGCATATAAATTCGTATACAATTTTAAACCAATACCATGAGGACGACGACGACGATGATGAAAATGGTGGTGATGATAATGACAGGAACAACAACAACAACAACAACAATAATAATAATAATAATATCGTTAACCCCTACAACAACAATAAATTACGAGACGAAATTCAATGTAATTTAATCATAGAAATCTACGATCAGAACAAAAACATCAACAACAACAACAACAACAACAATATCAACAACAACAACAAAAATAATAATAATATTTATAACAATGATAATAATATTTATAATAATGATAATAATGGTAATAACAATAATAATAACGAAAACAACAGAATGAAAAATATCAACCCGTGCTTACTTGATGGCCGATTCTACAACATCCACAACTCACACAACAACATCATTATCGTCAACATAACGCAGAGGTTAACTGCTTCAATGCTACCAAAAAATAACATAAACAAACAAACCAATACTACTACTACTAATAATAAAACCGTTATTAAAACCATTAACAACAACAAAACTGAAAATGATGGCACTAATAACAGCAATACCACTACTACTAATAACAATAATAATAACAACAACAACAACATTATTTTTATTGACCAAAACAACAGTCACAGTAACACTACGCTCTTTAGCATTATCAACCACAATAACATTAGTTTTATTAACAACAACAACATTGAAAACCAAAACGTTAACAACAACAACAACAACATCAACTACATCCTCAACAACAACAACATCAACTATAATAACAACGACATTAACAACAACAACTACTACTACAACAACAACATCAACAAAAACAACATCAACATCAACTACAATAACAACGACATTAACAACAACAACAACATCATCGACAACGACAACATCAACAGCCACAATTTCGCATTCAAAGAACGACTTCTCCTCGAAATTCTTGGTTATTAATTGTTCGGAATATTATTATCACTTTTCAAAATTAGCTTATATATTATATGTATATTTATATTATATAAATATATATATATATATATTTATATTATATATTTATATTATATATATATATATATTGGAGTATTTTGCCGTTAAAAGTTTGTGAGTTGTTGTTGAAAGTGAACAATTTTGTAAATCTTCTGCCTCTGTCGGATATTATTGGATCCGATGTTGTTAACCTTAGGGATGAAATTAAATAGAAGGTTTCAACTCACCACATGGTTCAGCGAATGGTGTGGCTTATTTGTCAGCTTGGTTGGACTGTGTGATTTCTTGCCTTACCATCTTAATTTAGAGATGCTCAATATTTTCTCGACAGGTTGATATACGGACTGAGGTCTGATCATATTTCTGAGGGTATGAAAAGTCTTCATTGGCTGTTTGTTAGGCGAGAATTTTAGTTGAACTTGCAGTGTTTGCCTACAAATGTGTGAATATCTCAGAACTGTCTATTCAGAGTCTTGTCTGGTTGATTTTGGTGGCGTGGAGTGGTTGCCTCTCTACGGAGAGATTGGTGTTGTTGCTGCTGCTGTTGAGGCTGACTGTTTCTCTACTAAACAGTTGTTGTTGTTAGAACTAGAGACTGAATGAGACTTGTGGGAGAATTTTGTGCCAGTGCCTTTCTGCGGGAGTGATTCCCTCTTGATTGCCTGCTATGTTGCGAATTAGAGTTAATGTCATTATTATTTGTATTATTGTATAACGTTATTATTATCATTTTATTATTAATCATATCATTATCAATAATACTAATGTATAATATTAATAATAGTAATAATAATTATTATTATTATTATTTTAAACTATTACCGATGTTAAATATTCATGACTTGACAGTTTCAGGTTGCGTCACGCCCGAGTCGCATGGAAAGATGTGGCTGGAGAGGCTGGCAGATGAACTGATGGTGGCCTGCAGAAATAATAATAATAATAACAACAACAACAACATTACTAACAAAAACAACAACAACAACATTACTAACAAAAACAACAACATTACTAACAAAAACAACAACAACAACATTACTAACAAAAACAACAACATTACTAACAAAAACAACAACAACAACATTACTAACAAAAACAACAACAACAACATTAATAATAATTATTATTATAATAATCGTCGTCATCGTAATCGTCCTTCCGTCAAAAATGACACAACTGGACACCAATGATGTTAAGGAATTTTCGAATAACAGCGATGGAAAAAAATTATGCAGTCGTAACAACAACAACAACAACAACATCAACAATAATGATAATAATATTATTAATAACCAAATTATCTACCGACTCAAATGCGATGGTGAAAAATGGGTGGGCGAACTTCCCAAGTGTTGTCGTGATGATGATGATGATGGTGGCAATGATGACGATGATGATAATGATGATGGTTGTAATGATTACAACCACAAAAAGAGTGATGATGTAACTGGAATAAACAGTGTCAACTGCAATGGCGATGGTGGTGATGATGAAGAAGAAGAAGAAGAAGAAGAAGACGATGATGAAATGAGTAGTAGTATAAAATTTTTAAAGGACTTTATTAAAGTTATCGATTGAGTGAGAGAAAGTACGAACGAGTGAGTGAATGAATTAAATAATGAGTAAGCGAATGAACTTTTAAAAGGTTTCTGTTATTTATAATGTTAAATTTCTACTTTAATTAAAGTGGAAGCAACTGTCTTTTCCTCACGTAGAATGTAAATAGATCCATTGTTGCGTAACTGCTATATAGCCAACAATTCTATCAATAAATAAGCAACAATAAATAAATACTTCGAAACTATTACGAAATTAATTAATGTTGAATGAAGTGTGTGGAGTGGATGTCTAGTGGTAAAGATAGCCTGGTGCTGTTTCGCAAGCTTCGTGATTGTGTGTTGTTGATTCCTCTGAATTTAGGAAAGTGTCATGGACCTTTAACCTTTTGAACCTTAAAAATTTAGTTAACGTTTTAATTAACGATAGTTTAATTTGAAATTTAATTAATTAATTGTACATGATCAAATATGAATGAAAATATAAAAATTGATAACGAATCAGGCTTGTCAGTGGCAGTGGGCATCGGATTCATGGTAGGAGTTTGCATTGGCTGCCTGCTTCTCGTCGCCTCCTTATTAGTCAAGTCAGTTGCCTATTTATTTAAATAAATAAATAGAAATTAATTAATTAGATAAAATATCAATTAATTAATTAATTAGATAAGAAATCAATTAATTGATAAATTCAATTAGTTGATTGACAAAACAATTTGTCATTATTTTTTAAAATGCTTCATGATAACCGACTCGAACCTTCAAAATGATCATTAGCATACAAACTTTTATTGTCTTTAGATGAGGTCAACATATTTGTTACTGGAATGTACCTTACAGTTAAAATAATGAACAAACACACACGCTAACATCAAATTGAATGGTAACCTTTGAGCAGCATTGATCTAATTTCCTAAACGACTTAGCAGCTTAACGACTTAACATTTCATTACGAACGAAAAAAATTTTGCCATAGGTTAAGTGCAATATCATGTGGTCAATAGTTTTATAATTTTTAAAATATGGAGGTCGAATAACAGTGAATAAAAAATAATCGTCGACTCGACCATTCATTATTTCTATGACCGTTTTGTTGGTCACTAACTTTCAGATGTCCGGTTTCAAATAAATGTTGCTGGTCGCAGTCATGTGGTTGTTTAGAACCTTGTTGAACGTGTTGAATTTTAATTTGTTGAGGTGTCGTTAAATTTTAATATTTCATTTTGTCGAAACTCATCCTTAATCTATTTTGCTATCTGACTTTCCATCTCCCTCTCAGATTTTGTTTTTTGATTCCGCGAAGTCAACATTCTTTATTCAGTCAGGAGAAGTAGTTCGGATGCGGAACCTGATCCAACAACACATTCCCATCTCTTCATAAATTTGTTTCTCAGCAGTCTTTTAACTTTCTGATCAGCAGACATTTTCAATATTCTCGATATGACGTCCTGGCTTAAAAGGTTCTGTCTGAGTGAGGCTTGTGTATCTGGCTATCGAAAACAAATTGTTGGGTTGTTTTATTTTATAAATCTTGTTTTAGTCACCTGTCTGTCAAACTTTTTGTTTTTCTCTGCCTCTACGCTAACTTCCAGGTGAATTTGACGTTTGTTTCTTGAACAATCTTGCTCGCATTCTTACAATG